TTTACGGATTTTGAAACTAGATTCTCTTGGACACCGATCGTTCATGATTGTGTATATGGTTGAGTTTAAGCTCTATCTGCCGCTTTCAACAATTTTTGTTGTAGCAGTTTATGGTCAAGTGTAGTGCCCACACGGTGAGCTTTTAAACGTTGGAAGATAAATGGTTCAGAGAACCGACAAGTTGATATATGTGCAAACGTTTCGCCACACAGCGACTTCATCAGTCCAATACAAAGGAGAATGGTGAGACTCAGGAGTTCGATTACCACAAACTCCTTCTGATCTTCACCATTCTTCTTTGTATTGGACTGATAAAGAATAAAGAAGCCCAATTGTTGCACATGTATCTGGTTTATCAATTTTACTGCGTGTGTTTTAATCCATCGTGTCTGTATTTATATATTCTCTCATTTAGTAGTTCATCCTGACCCAGAGGTTCTCTTGGTCCTGGTCCAGCATGAATCTTGGTCCTGGTCCAGCATGAATCTTGGTCCTGGTCCAGCATGAATCTTGCCCTGTCCAGCATGAATCTATGGTCCTGTCCAGCATGAATCTTGGTCCTGGTCCAGCATGAATCTTGGTCCTGGTCCAGCATGAATCTTGGTCCTGGTCCAGCATGAATCTTGGTCCTGGTCCAGCATGAATCTTGGTCCTGGTCCAGCATGAATCTTGGTCCTGGTCCAGCATGAATCTTGGTCCTGGTCCAGCATGAGTTATTTGTGAGATGTTGTTTACGTGGGTTTCACTACATGATGTACATGATGTTGTACCTGGTACATGATATTGTACCTGGTACATGATATTGTACCTGGTGCATGATATTGTACCTGGTACATGATATTGTACCTGGTACGTGAGTCAGATACAGGTTCTTCCATACCTGCACTAGTTACAACCGTCCCTTACTACAGAACTTTAAACGTTATTCGTCTGTTTTACTACGTCGCTAACGCACGAATCCAAACATATTCTTACCTATTTCACTGACGTTCCTCTTGAGACTCGTTCCTCGTTATACAATACGTTAAAATTATTTCTTTTCTTGATTTTTACGTTTTGAGTTATAAACCACATTATTATTATTATAATCAAAAAGAAGCGCTAAGCCACAAGGGCTATACAGCATTATAAACCACAGCCTCGTTTTTTCCCCCTGGGTGCCCTGGCAGTTTTGTGTCTTATCAACCATTGTTTTCCTGACGATAGTTCTCCAGGTATAGCCTTTGGTTCTTCAGTCAACCGTTATAAGCCGTATCCTATGTAAAGGAACCTGGGAATCTCAAAAAAAATAATTTTTTTGTTCTGGTCGCTACGCGATTCGAGTTAGATATCGGTGTTATCCTACACACCTGTCACCTCACTGCAATGTTTCACACCTGTCACCTCACTGCAATGTTTGCAAGAAGCACAATAGCTGTATTTTTCAACTATAAAGAGGGTTGGTTAATGGGATTTAAAGGCTATCACTACACAAGCGCCGTTAAGACCGCATATCACCTATTCACCATCAGTCAAGAACACTTTAAACCCTAAATTTAAGAATAAACTCTCAGGGTATATACACTGAGATACACACCTCTCGGAGTATATATATTTCTTTCATTTTGATTCATTTGCCTTTAATGGATTTGAAGCCTATCGACTACGCTTAAAGCTGCATGTCACATGCTCACAACTAGTTAAGAATACTTTAATACCTAAAATACAAACTGAACTCTTAGCATATATACACTGAGAAACATACACCTCTCGGTATATACATGATCACCTAGTATCAACAATACGTAAAACACTGATTAAAGTGAATTATAAATGTTTAGGGTGGCTCGTGATATGGTAGGCAAAGCTCTCTTTTCACAAGTTGAGGTGTCCGGGTTCGATTCCCGGCAAGGGCGTAAACATTGGGCTTGTTTCCTTAAGGTACCTGCTATCCCTGTTCACCCACCAGTAAAATGGGTACCTGGTGTTAAGTAAAAGGACACAAGTGCAACTAATGTGACATTTATTGTGGCAACGTTTCGCTCTCCAGCTAATGGCTTGATAAAGCTCCTGGAGAGCGAATCGTTGCCACAATAAATGTCACATTAGTTGCACTTGTGTCCTTTTACTTTACATATTGTCGGTAATTCTACCAACTTTGTTACTACCTGGGTGTTAGTCGACTGGTGTGGGTCGCATCCTGGGACAACAATGATCTAATTTGCCCGAAATGCTCAGCATAACAAGGGGCTTTCTATATAGTAGTATATCATTGATGTCAGTTATGGTCTGTATACCTTGTACATGTAAAAATATTATTAATTATATTATTATTATTATTATTATTATTATTATTATTATTATTATTTTATTATTATTATATCTTTCATTCTCATGTGAGCAGATTATTATTATTATTATTATTATTATTATTATTATTATTATTATTATTATTATTATTATTATTATTATTATTATTATATCTTTCATTCTCATGTGAGCAGATTATTATTATTATTATTATTATTATTATTATTATTATTATTATTATTATTATTATTATTATTATTATCAAAAAGAAGCGCTAAGCCACAAGGGCTATACAGCGCTGCTCATGTGAGCAGAGAAACTGTGTCTCTTCATCTCGCTAACTAATGCATTTACGTTTTTTGTCTGAGTCAGTTTTTAGAGAACTTGAATCGCAAATTTCATTTCGTGGGCGATTTTGTCTTCTGATGTTTAACATGTATGCAAGTGACCAGGTTAGTGTAAACATCGTCGTTTCCAGTGTTAACTCAGACTGAACGACAAATAACCGGTGCTTTATTGTGTGTTTGTGAACTGCTGTTCCTTTAGTAGATGAAGACGAAGAAAGACAATAATTATGATTATAGCAATAATAATGATGATTTTGGTGGGATTATTAACCTGGAGGGTTATTAACTCAGGATAACCCAATAATGTCAACATGTCATTGAGTCCTGTCTATCTTACCCTCACGGCTGTCTTATTACCTTCGACCTAATAACCCAGGAGCTTCCAAGAAAGCCAAGCTGCGTTGTCTATGAAATATTTCGCGACAGGAGAACCTACAGTGGTTGTCTGGGTTCTCAGTTTTCCTTCAAAGTTGTCGTTTATAACTTTTGAACACCTGGTTTAATCAGGTTCAAAAAATTTTCAACGCCTGCTACTGTATCTAGGAGATGATGCCTCTGGGAAACACAGATCCAAAAATTATTTTGGTTTCTGCATGATCAATGAGAACGGATCCTCCGCTAGGCTTCAAACTTTTAATACAGGTGCAACACGCATAGGATTGAACTGATATTGGATTGTTTAGCCGCTAATTTCTAGGTTTTATTACTTGGATTAATATAGAGTACTAATGACTCACGAAATCGTATGACACGATTGCAAACAAACTATACCACGGGTGGGGATAGAACCCGCGATCAGAGAGTCAAAACTCTGTGGCTAACGAGACGATCTGGAGTTCTGAGACTCTGATCGTGGGTTCTATCCCCACCCGTGGTATGGTTTTCTTTACAATACTAATATTTAATTAAGCTTAATAAGGCCTCTTCTAAACAAATTAAAGGTTTAATAAACCAATAGTGGTTTATATCACATAATATAAACCACGGTGTGTATTTGCAGCTATGAGTTTTATTAATCCATATACTGGGGATTAAAGACTGCTGGATTTTAGCGCGCAGGTGATTTCCAGCTTTAATGGCCCTCGTTCTGCCTTTACAAAAATAGCAAACTAGTTAAACGGCTACCCAACCTTTAGAAACAGAAAACGTTATTCGGGTTGGTAGGATACAATTCAGTGGCCACTTTATTAGGTACACCTATACACTTGCTCGTTAATGCAAATATCTAATCAGGGGTGTAGCCAGGAGCGTTGTCCGGAGCGTTGTCTGGGGCGTTGTCTGGGGCGTTGTCGGGGGCGTTGTCTGGGGCGTTGTCTGGGGCGTTGTCTGGGAAGAGAAAGTAGTGTTACTTTCCCGGGGTCAGTACCTACTAGGAGGGCCAGGATTAGATCGTCTTGTATATTTTAAACAAGGTGAGACTGTAGGGTGTTCCCTACTCAGCCAGGAGTGAGTGTCTCACACCGCTTGTTGAAATTACAAACACAAAATTACTCACAAAATCGTAATGATATGAGTGTCAACAAGCTGCATTAAGGATGGTTTTAGAACTCATGGCTAGTGAGTCGTAAAACTCCAGGCCAGTGAGTAAGCCACTGGGCCAGCTGGCCCAGTGGCTTACTCACTGGCTTACCCAGTGGCCTCGGTCAGATGACCAAGGCGGGTCATTATATGACTAAGACCCGCGTCAAGAATATTTGTCCTGTTTTCTTCCCTCAAGGGAGGTTCCTTGACGCTGGTGAGGGGCTCTTGATCTAGGGAATTGGATCTGTGCTCCAGTTCCCTGAATTGAATCTGAATATCTTCCATATTCCCCCTTCCCCACAGGCGTTGTATAATCTCTACGGATTTAGCGCTCGCCCATGATTATAATAATAATAATTGTCCTGTTTTCTGACAAACATTTTACCTACCTAATAAGTATGATACTTTTTTATATTTTCCGTAGAGGGGGGAGGGGACCTCCAACACTATGAGAGAAACGTCTTAGGGTTACCAGAATTAAAATGGGGAAAACGTGTCAAGAGGGGAGATTGTGGTCATGGCGTCAGTCAAGCATAACACCATGAGTCAAAGCCTCGTATCATTCCATTTTTTCCTTATTCATATTATATTCGCATTATTGGGGGAATTTTCGCTTTCTTGTAAGAAGTTAGATCTGCCAGCCTTGCACATGTACCAGGCTGATATGGTTAATCTGTGACGGTATTTAAAATTACTGCCCTCTCATCATATACCAGGCTTTACTTCCCGTCTCCCATTTTCATGACCTTACGGGTGCAGAAAGTCAGTTTTGCCACCCGCCCACCAGGTGACCAGCCACTAGTGCAGCCACGGACTTGCGAGTCTGGGTACTTATTGTCAGATTGTTAGCCACTACTCGCCTGTTATCCAGATTACATGGAACACCTTAAGTTTCGTTAGTGCTGCTTAGTATCAGTGATGTCGTGCTGGTTTCGTGAGGTTCGGGGTAGTTATCGTGAAGATATTTCAGCAGTGAATTTACACCGTGTCTATACATGTATGTATTTACGGATGTATAATTTATTTTGTCCTGCTCGGTGATGTGGTATTTTCACATATTCCATTTCGGCTATCTGTAGGATAGGACTTTCTGAGAGATGTTATGTACCTCCCATGTATCACCCTTCAAGGGGGGGGGGGTCTTGATACTGATGAAGGACTCTGGTCTTGCGAATGAAGGTCCTCTTCCCTTCCTTGAATCAAACCAAAGAGCCTTTAATTTCTTCATGGATTTAGCACCTCTCATAATAATTCTCAAGTATCAGTCACGTAAGCTTTCCTGAAAGTCAAAAAAAAAAAAAAATGATCAGAACTCTTAGTGGAATGCTTGACGATATCTTCATTAACCTAATGTACAAAACCATCCTATGTGATAGAATGTGACAGGAAAAAAATAGCTAAAGTTTGTTTTTACATTGTAACTTCCTTGTGGCTTAGCGCTTCTTTTTTATAATAATAATAATAATATAATAATAATAATACAGTGTAACTATCTTAGAGTAAGGTAGCAGCACTGCTAATTTACCAACATTTGTCAAATAATAACAAGTGGAGATATAAATATCCGAGGCGACGGATATCAACATCGTCAGTGTGATGGGTGGGGGGGGGGGTGTCGGGTTGCCGGGGGGGGGTTCCTCGCCGTGCTAAGAGTACAGTATACTTGACAAGTGTTTTCCCTATCGTATTTTAGCACGCTTGTCCTTCTCCACTCTGCCTGCTCAGCATATCGATCTTGGGGGGGGGGGGAGCCAAATACCAGTTCCTTTCGTCCCCTGTGCTACAAATTTTTCAGGAGTTAAGAGCTTTTTGGAGAAATGTCGGACATCGATTTAGCCCGGGTGCATGTCTCCCTCTCAACCCACCTCCACTTTCCCTGTCAGTGAACGCATTTATTTTTCCTCTTATTTTTCTCCCCGATGTGGGCAGTATTTCCTTCTCGGACAAAGAGATATTCAACACAATTTTGACTGTGTTGGTCCTTAAAACATTGTGCACCCTTCAAAATTCCATTTTTTTATTTTATTTATTGGTACCATCTTGCAATTTGTTGCAATAATGTCATCTGAAGGAATCTTGTGACAGTAAGAGGATGTTGTCTATCACGGCAGTAATTGCCTGAGTTGGCCAGTACCAGGTTTCAATGTTTCTTCTTTTTCTTGGGGCTTTATTACATATTTGTTTTACTAAATCAGTTGAATGGTTTTTAATGGTCCTTTTGCAGCAAAAGATTCCTGCTCGGGATGGGGGGCACAGTGCCCAGGAAAACCAGGGATTCTACACATCGGACAAGTGTATCTAAAATACTCTGGTTACCTCAACCACATCGTCAGAAACGAGAAACACTGCAGACTATATGTGGCATCCTCTTCAGCAAAGTACCCACAGCACGAGCCATTGATCTAATGTGCCAGGAAACTGATGACTATCTTCCTCTTCCAGCCTCGAGTATATGGATCTCGCTGAACAGTGTTGGCTTTAACTTTTTTTAAATTCTATCTTTCAGCAGTCTGTGTTGTCGGTCATTTACATTGACCATCTCGAAGCCGAGCAATTTTCCTCCATTAACCCTTCCTTGTTAATTTGCCTCTGCTCTCCCAGAAGAATTTTCCTTCATTAACTGTTCCTCGGTAATTTGCCCCTGCTTTCCCCGATGAAATTTCTTAACCCGTCCCTGGTAATTTGCCTTTGCTTCCCACTAACGAAATGTCCTCCATTAACCCGTCCTTGATTATTTTCCTGTTTTTGCCGTTGCTGGGTCACCTGAACGTGGTTTGTTCCTAGGGGTAAGGGAAGCCTCATCTCTACGAGGGGTGCCACTCTCTTCACAGAGCACTTCCTTGGCATAAATGGTGGGGATATTTCCCATTTCATTTAAATTTGCACGCACTTCTAGTCGATGACATAGATGGACACATTGTGGAATGTAAAAAAAAATTTTTTTTTAATTTACTTACGTTGTAATTCTGAATCCTGCAATACGAGAGTGAATTTGTCACGACAGTGCAAAGTTGATATTACTGGTGCAAGTTTAATATACGTACAGTGTTAGAAACGGGATATGTCTAAACAGCTGTATAAACAAGAGGCTTCAGTGTTCGCAACCGACGACAACCTGGCTCTGCTGTGTCGACACCTCGTCAATAAATAATCGCATTACACTGCATTCTTTTACGTTCGCCCACTTGACAGATACCTTTTTATAATTACACGTTTCAGGAGAGAAATACGAATAGAACATCTGAGACTGTAGCAACAGATGACAGTGACACAAAGACATGAGAAAAAAGATTCTTTGTTTATAGAGGAATATGACGGTCCTTTCTCAAGTGATTATATATATATGTCGTGCCGAATGAGTAAAACTTGGGATTTTAAATAGCAACGCTCTTCTTGCCGAATAGGGCAAGCGAAAATTTGTGCATGAAATAATTTCGCAAAAATCATTCTGAACAGAACAGAGGTGTGTGTATGACTGATCAGTTAAAACAAATCATACCACGGGTGGAGATTGAACTCGTGGCCAATGAATCGTAAAACTCCAAGAGTTTTAAGATTCGCTCGCCACAAGTTCAATTCCCGCCCGTGGTATGGTTTGTTTGCAATCGTGCCATTACGATTTCTTGAGCCGGTACTGATCAATTAATTATCCATTAGTCATTAGTTGAATCCAATCCAAGAACCTGCCTTTCCATCCTGGATAATCTGGATTACTTTACACAGGTCAGTTTGTTCCCAGGAGTAGACATGTCTACGGGTATCCTTTAAGTTCAGTGGATGGACCTTTCATAAAGGCCAGTACTCATAACGTATAAATGCGCACTCAGTGGTACTGGTAACAAGCAGTTACCGTGGTGATGTGTGGGGCTTGTTGTATAGGATATACTTCAGGAATTCCGCGAGATACGTGTATGAGCAGCCATTTGCACTCAGGTTCGTGAATGAGAGAAGTCTTCTCGTCTCTTTGAACGTGCGTGTTAATGAAGGGCAGTGTCATCGACATTTGTTATGTGATTAGAAGTGTAACAATGAAAGGAAGTCTCCCTCTCTGCTAGGCTTATATTGTGATTAACCCGGCGTTACGAGGAGAGGTTCGTTCGCCTGTACAGGTCTATGAAGACTCGTCAGTGTCATCTCGCTTTCGTTATGTGACTGACGCTCATCGCGTGGGTAGGCTGTGAGCTGGTAGTTGGCACAAGTGCGTGCCCACTGTTGTCATTTGTGTATACTGAGACAAAAGTAATCATATATACTAAGTTAATTATTCTATATGTAACTCAAACTTAAGTACTTAGAGGTGGTATATTAGCCTATAGGGGCTTCGTTACTAAATTAGTGGAAATATTCCACCGTCTGATGTAGGCTCACGTATTGTTACAACCAAACACTCTAATGCCTCTCACATCATCTTACACCTCTTCCCCTCCTCTCAGGCTCAGGGATACTCTCATATCACATGGACTGGGAATGGTCCGAACTCGTCACAGAGATCCACACGAGCAGAAAGCGTTTAGAAGCACATCTAAGACTTTTCCCCAACCCACATCATAGTCAAGAACCGGAACAAACGTCAGGCTTATACAGTCTCCTTATCAATATTCCTGGGTAGCGGAGTACTTTGGTATCAGATGCTTCATCCTTGAATCACTGTCACTTCGCCTTCACCAGACGCGTTTCCTTCCTCTTATATTTATCAGAATGTCTTTGACTTCCTAGATTCACTTCACAAAGTTGGCTACATGTGAACGAAATTATGTATACTTCTATCAAGGTTATTTTACCTTCCTGGAATAGTACATGGCTTGTTCAAACCTCCTGAATTGGAACTAGATCCTGCTTTATTATTAAGCTGCTTTCCATGTGGTGCTCAATTCTTTCCATACAGTGTTATTTAACAACACTAGCAGCAAGCTTATAGTTGCTGTTGTTTCTTAGACTGAGTAACTGTTTCATTTTTTCTCTTGTCAGGTACATCAGGCAGGACCAAGATATTCTCGACGAACCCTTTAGGAAGTTTAAGGGGCGCTGAACGTTCCAAGAATTCACAAGACAACTTCTATATTTCGGAAAGTGTACCTCTGATCTCTGAAGAACACTACTCGGGCGACAGGGTCGTCCTAGCGAGTCCTGGTGACACTACCATCCCTGTGAACCCTGCACACCCCGGGAGTCACGGTACAGGCAGAAACTTCTTTATTATTAGTCAAGAAGGCCTAGGTGGAAGACACAAGGATGTCCGCGCTGGCCTTTCAGATGTATTAGCAATACAGGGAGGCGGAAATGGTATGGGAACTGATTTGGTATCGTGTAACGGATCATCCAGCACCTCGGTGTTCGTGTGTCGCCTCGGAGAGTGCATTCCCATCTCCCTCAGATGTAACGGCGTCCCTGACTGCACTGGCGGAGAGGATGAAAGTGTCAGAGAATGTGGTGAGTATACTAGTATCATTATATGTAAGTAATAAATTCATAACGCCGACAAGTGGCAAAAGACAGAGGAGAGAGGCCTTTATTAGAAAAACGTTTCGCCCAAAAGTGAGCTTGCATGGTAAATCAGGCAACGGGAGGGGTTTGAACCCATGGCAAGTGAGTCTTAAAACTCACAGGCCAGTGCGTTAACCACTCGACCACCTGGCTCTAATAGAGTTCATCTCACAATGTGAAAAAGTTAAGCTTCATATATGGGATCCTGGGCTGGTGGTCAGTTATAAAATAGCTTGAGTAGTTGTACAACACTAAGAAAACTAAATTTACTTTCAATATATAGGTCATATTATTATAATGACAGGGGCGCTAAACCCATAGGATTATACAGCACATGTGGGGGGGGATGGAAGGTATTCAGGCTCAATTCAGGGAACTGGAGCACAGATCCAATTCCCTAGATCAAGAGCCCCTCACCAGCATCAAGGAACCTCCCTTGAGGGGTATATAGGTCATAGAAGTCTCCATTGTAAACACACCGTCTCACGGATGGTAAACAGTACCGACAAGATAAAGAATTACACATTTCCAACATCTGGGTGGCTTTATTTGTAAGCTTTTCACCGTACAGTGGCTTTATCAATACAAGGACATAATGTGAAGCATGTAGAACTATATGGAATATGAGGTAATCAGTCCCTCAGCCTTGGAGTTGAAGAGCATCGTAGTCTTAGACTGAGCACCTAATCAAAGGCTGAGGGACTGATTACCTAATTTTTTCTTCACATGAATTTGAACCTGTATTGATAAAACCACTAGATTCCGAAACTTCTACAAATACAGATTTGCAGAGGTTGCACATATTTCTCAGTTCTTCATACTGCATTCGGTGGGCACGCCCACGCCCACATCCACGCCCACACCCACGCCCATATGGCTTGGGACGGAACCAAGATACTATTTCAGGAAAACAAAATTAACGTAAATGTTCTTTGGTTTACAAATGCGACTCCCAGAGCACACACATGATACGTCACATTTAGATTAACACTTACAATTATGTGAGACGTGTATTCAGTTATCAAGACATTTTAATGAGGCTCCATTTCGCCCACCAGGGGTTTCACCAGACTGAAGAATCCCCCAAGTGAGCGAAACGTATCCTTAAAAGATGTCATGATAATCGCATACGTCTCCCACATCATGGAACAAGGGAAACGTAGCACTTGGCTTTTCACTCTCGGCTTCTTTCATCTCTCCAAGACGACTCTTCCATTGTCTACCAGACTACCAGCCCTGGGCGTCACATATAACTCTTCCATTGTCTACCAGACTACCAGCCCTGGACGTCACATATAACTCTTCCATTGTCTACCAGACTACCAGCCCTGGACGTCACATATAACTCTTCCATTGTCTACCAGACTACCAGCTCTGGACGTCACATATAACTCTTCCATTGTCTACCAGACTACCAGCCCTCGACGTCACATATAACGCACCAACTTTTAACCTTCGTGGGTCGAGCGGTTAGTTATAATTATCTAACTTTTATTACTGTGCCCTGTACAGCACATTAGTGGGCGAAACTCTCTAGAAATTAATACTTCAACGCATAAAAATAGTTTTTTCCATGATTACACAGTTGAGTGACGTAAACAGTATCATGAACGTAGGCAAAGTTCCTTACGTTTACCAGCCGTCTTATGAAATAGCCTCTCTGCCAGATTGCAAAACGTTTACCTGGCTCCATTTACCACTTTTTTTTTATATATAGGCCCATTCATACATAAATTTTATTGAACTCCCTGCTGTTTTGATAATGGAATTGAAATTTTAGTTAATGTATAATATACGAACAAGTTTTGATTGAAAGAGGATTCACTGAGACGTGAAGAATTTACAGCATAGATATCCTCTCTGTGGAGGTACCTTGGTGCCGACAAGGGGCTCTTGATACCAAAAATATGATCTAGCCTCCTTTATCCCAGACGGATTTAGCGCTTCTCTCCCCCATAACTTTAATATACTCAAAAAGTGGTGATGTATGACCACTCGGGTTTACAGCTTAAATTTAATATAATATCTGAATGTCGTCAAGCGTAATTAAAATAATCTTTGATGTGTAATCAGACATTTTCGTTCATTATTTTTCTGTAAGGTAATTTTTACTCAAAAAAATGATGTAATTAACACGACATAGTGGAAATATGACGTATTTTGAAAATATTATAAAAGGCAGCACATACATAATTATTATACAGCAGCCATGAAGGAAATATTTGAGACGAAAGTCTCATGACCTTATTAACCTGGTTAATTACCCGGTCTGTTCACGACTCTAAATGCTGGTTAATATTAACATGGCGTTATTAACCAGTATTCACATCTGTGGATAATCCTTTTAAGGGGATATAGATGCGGGTGAAGGAGGATCTTGATCCATGAAATTGGAGCTGCCCTCTTCCCCTTTCTGATCCTTTCAGGCTTGGAACTGAAAATAGTAATGTATTTGATAATTTCTTGTATGATGTTGGTGATCGATCATTGCTGCCACAGGTTGCCTGCCCAACGAGTTCCAGTGTGGGGAGACTTGTATAGACTCCGTCCAGCGATGTGACACACTGCCCCACTGTCCTGATGGCCTGGACGAGCAACACTGTGGTAAGTTCTTGTGTATCTCGCTCTGTATGGGAAGAGTTCCTCTGGGTACACAGCCTAAAATTTTGTAGGCCCCTGCGCTACATGTACTGTGAGGCCCCTGGGCTACAGGTACTGTGAGGCCCCCTGGGCTACATGTACTGTAAGGCCCCTGGGCTACATGTACTGTGAGGCCCCTGGGCTACATGTACTGTGAGGCCCCTGGGCTACATGTACTGTGAGGCCCCTGGGCTACATGTACTGTGAGGCCCCTGGGCTACAGGTACTGTGAGGCCCCTGGGCTACAGGTGCTGTGAGGCCCCTGGGCTACAGGTACTGTGAGGCCCCTGGGCTACAGGTACTGTGAGGCCCCTGGGGTACATGTACTGTGAGGCCCCTGGGGTACATGTACTGTGAAGCCCCTGGGGTACATGTACTGTGAGGCCCCTGGGGTACATGTACTGTGAGGCCCCTGGGCTACATGTACTGTGAGGCCCCTGGGCTACATGTACTGTGAGGCCCCTGGGCTACAGGTGCTGTGAGGCCCCTGGGCTACAGGTACTGTGAGGCCCCTGGGCTACAGGTACTGTGAGGCCCCTGGGCTACAGGTACTGTGAGGCCCCTGGGCTACAGGTACTGTGAGGCCCCTGGGATACAGGTCCTGTGAGGCCCCTGGACCACAGGTACCGTGAGGCCCCTGGGTCACGGGTACCGTGAGGCCCCTGGGTCACGGGTACCGTGAGGCCCCTGGGCTACGGGTACCGGTGAGGCCCCTGGGCTACGGGTACCGTGAGGCCCCTGGGCTACGGTACCGTGAGGCCCCTGGGCTACGGGTACCGTGAGGCCCCTGGGCTACAGGTACCGTGAGGCCCCTGGGCTACAGGTACCGTGAGGCCCCTGGGCTACAGGTACCGTGAGGGCCCCTGGGCTACAGGTACCGTGAGGGCCCCTGGGCTACAGGTACCGTGAGGGCCCCTGGGCTACAGGTACCGTGAGGACCCCTGGGCTACAGGTACCGTGAGGGCCCCTGGGCTACAGGTACCGTGAGGGCCCCTGGGCTACAGGTACCGTGAGGCCCCTGGGCTACAGGTACCGTGAGGGCCCCTGGGCTACAGGTACCGTGAGGGCCCCTGGGCTACAGGTACCGTGAGGGCCCCGGGCTACAGGTACCGTGAGGGCCCCTGGGCTACAGGTACCGTGAGGGCCCCTGGGCTACAGGTACCGTGAGGGCCCCTGGGCTACAGGTACCGTGAGGGCCCCTGGGCTACAGGTACCGTGAGGGCCCCTGGGCTAACAGGTACCGTGAGGGCCCCTGGGCTACAGGTACCGTGAGGGCCCCTGGGCTACAGGTACCGTGAGGGCCCCTGGGCTACAGGTACCGTGAGGGCCCCTGGGCTACAGGTACCGTGAGGGCCCCTGGGCTACAGGTACCGTGAGGGCCCCTGGGCTACAGGTACCGTGAGGGCCCCTGGGCTACAGGTACCGTGAGGGCCCCTGGGCTACAGGTACCGTGAGGGCCCCTGGACTACAGGTACCGTGAGGGCCCCTGGACCACAGGTACCGTGAGGGCCCCTGGACCACAGGTACCGTGAGGGCCCCTGGACCACAGGTACCGTGAGGGCCCCTGGACCACAGGTACCGTGAGGGCCCCTGGACCACAGGTACCGTGAGGGCCCCTGGACCACAGGTACCGTGAGGGCCCCTGGACCACAGGTACCGTGAGGCCCCTGGACCACAGGTACCGTGAGGCCCCTGGACCACAGGTACCGTGAGGCCCCTGGACCACAGGTACCGTGAGGCCCCTGGACCACAGGTACTGTGAGGCCCCTGGACCACAGGTACTGTGAGGCCCCTGGACCACAGGTACTGTGAGGCCCCTGGACCACAGGTACTGTGAGGCCACCAGTGATATTTTCAAAAGGAAAAATAATCACAACCCTCCAGCTGGCGGAGGCCCCTGGCTGTAGCCCCTGGAGACCCTCCAGCTGGCGGAGGCCCCTGGCTGTAGCCCCTGGAGACCCTCCAGCTGGCGGAGGCCCCTGGCTGTAGCCCCTGGAGACCCTCCAGCTGGCGGAGGCCCCTGGCTGTAGCCCCTGGAGACCCTCCAGCTGGCGGAGGCCCCTGGCTGTAGCCCCTGGAGACCCTCCAGCTGGCGGAGGCCCCTGGCTGTAGCTCCTGGAGACCCTCCAGCTGGCGGAGGCCCCTGGCTGTAGCTCCTGGAGACCCTCCAGCTGGCGGAGGCCCCTGGCTGTAGCTCCTGGAGGCCCTCCAGCTGGCGGAGGCCCCTGGCTGTAGCTCCTGGAGGCCCTCCAGCTGGCGGAGGCCTCTGGCTGTAGCTCCTGGAGACCCTCCAGCTGGCGGAGGCACCTGGGTTACATCCCCTAAAGCCCATCCCTTAATCCCGGCCAGCCTCTGGGTCGTATTTCCTTTTAAAGTCTCTCTCCAGCACCCACAGAGTTAGTTGTGCAGCTTAAGTGGTTAGTTTATTATGCACCCAATGAGCGGTAGCGCATAAAATAGGATTAGGTCACAATGGGTCTCAATCAAACCCCGACTGGATATTGTTACGTAGCAGAAATTATTAGTCATTTCGTATATTACATTTACTTTATATAGCTAATGTACACAATACACTTTGGAAATACAATCTCAAAAACGTAATTATCTTATCGCAAAAATAAAAAATGGTCATAAATGGGTTGTAACCTTATATATAGTTTTTTTCTAGTCAACGTGGATACAGTCTTAACAAAAGTGTTTTGCCATATCCTGTAAGGTTTACATGGAGGTGTCTCTGAAAGACTGGATGTTCGGACACTCTGAGAGCTAATGCCCCAGTGTATGGCCCTGGCCACAGTCTGCATTTCATGTCAGTGACATCTCTGTACAAACCTTACGACCAGATATATTTATTAACCTAGCATTAGTCTAACAGCAACATCATCTTGCGGTCTACTGACCTTGTTAGTCTCCATAAATATATTTAACTTGACACCTTTCATTATGATGCGCAGCTGATCTGCTAGTTCCTATCTGTGCTGTTCTTTCTTCAAACTCATTTTTTGCTAGTTCATTTTTGACAATGTTTCTTAAACTTCTGTTTGAAATACTCGACATTCTCTTTATTTAAAGCTAGTCTAACTAATTCAACTCTTTTGTCATGCTCCTAGAGGCCTATGTGAGAGGGAATCCACAATCTTAACTCTAATCCCTTAATCATTTGTTTGTGTGTGCTTGGCATGCACGTGTCTCATCTCGTTCATTTCGTCTGCACCCACAGAGACCTACACGTGTCCCACGTCTCACTTCAAGTGTAATAACCACTTCTGTGTCCCCAGCGAGAACGTCTGTGATTTCCACGACCACTGCGGCGACGCCTCCGACGAGCACCACTGTCGTGAGTCTTGTATCTCTGGTCCCACTCTGGCTCCTTTGTCTCCTTATCTCTGGTGCCAGTCTTCTACCTCTGTCTCTCTCTCCTTACACAAGGTCCAGTGTTTTCCTACATCTGTATTCTTATTTAATACCAACACTTAAGGTTTTATCATGTTTAGGAAAAAGGTCTTGCCTAAACCTTATATAAACCTTATCCTAGCTATTACATTGTTATATATTCAGATGTAGCAGTTGATAATTCCAATGGCAACCTCAGTTGAGAAGATCTAATGGAATTCAACTCCACTGCTAGCAGTACCCTGTCTCACATTCCTAAAGCGGCTCGTCCATATGCAGCAGGGAAATTCACAGACCACTTTAAGCAGGTGAATGGAGCTTCATCCAACTTAAAAACCAGAGACACCATTAAGGCTTGGCGCAACCTGCTCCTGTTCGGCAATGACTCTTGCAGTTGCTGCAAGACGCAGCAAACTGGTAACCACATCAGTCGTTAAAGTAGTGCTCAGCTACGCAAGAAGATAATTGTCACTCTGCCCCATCATCGCATGAATTAGAGGCAGACCCGAGAAAATTATTACACAGGTTAGAAAAAAAAATCGAAGGTAACACAGTGGAAGCAATCAGAATAATCACAAGTGACAACACTGTTGCTCCCAAAGATGAAGCTACACCCCAAACACTAAGAGACAAGCACCCAACCAGGGACACCAGGGTCGTTAACAACGACCCTGAGAAAGATCCCATCGGTAGAAAATTAATTTTGCCAGAATCAGAAATCTACAAAGCGATAGTGTCATTTCCAGCAGGATCTTCAGGTTACACTGGAATACGACCACATCACATCAAAAAGATGGTAAACCCAGTACTCGGTGCAGCTGCATCAATTCTTCTAAGTTAACAGCCATCGTCAACAACTGTCTGGCTGGGCGGATTCGAGAAGAAATTAAACCTTTCTTTTTCGGAGCCTCATTATGCGCTTTGAAGAAGGATGGGGGAATCGGACCCATTGCTGTCGGTAACATTCTTCGCAGTCTCGTTGCCAAAGCAGCAGTAAGAAACTTTCGCGTAGAAGCCGCCAATTTACTCCTGCCACACCAACTGGGTGATGTCTCTCAAGGCAGTGAAGCGGCTGCTCATGCAGGAAGGGCCTACATCAGGGACTTACCAGAAGACAAGGCCGTAGTCAAGGCCTTTAATATGATGAAAAGAGATGTGGTCTTGCCAGCTGTTCGGGATAAGTTCCCCAGTCTTTTTCCCTTCATTTCAGATGGCTACAGCAAACCCTCAATTCTTTTGTTTGGCGAACAGGAAATTCCCTCATTAGAGGGTGTTCAGCAGGGTGACCCACTCACTCCATTTCTCTTCTTCTTGGCGGTAAGATATAAATATATATATATATATAATATATATATATAAATAAATATATATATAATATATATATATATATATATAATTATATATATATATATATAAAATATATATATAATTATATATATATATAATTATGTCGTGCCGAATATGTAAAACTGGTCAAATTAGCAAGAACTCATTTAAAATTAAGTCCTTTCTGAAATTTTCTTTTATACGTTTAAAGATATATTTTTTTCATTAATGGTAATATCAAAAATTTTAATTTTGCAACAAAAGAATCTTAGAAAACTTACCTAACCTTATGATAACAAGAGCAATTTATTTTAACCTAACCCAACTAAATATATTTTAGATTTGTTTACAATAATTTAATACTAAACAAACGCAGTGAAATAATTTTTTTTCGTTAGGATCAGAATGATTTTGGTGAAATTATTGCATACACAAATTTTCGCTTGTCCTATATGGCAAGATGAGCGTTGCTATTTAAGCCAAGATCGCAAGTTCTGCCTATTCGACACGACATATATATATATATATATATATATATAATATATATATATATATATATATATATATATATATAATGTCGTGCCGAATATGTAAAACTGGTCTATTAGCAAGAACTCATTTAAAATAGTCTTTTCTAAAATTTTCTCTTATACGTTTAAAGATATATTTTTTTCATTAATATTGATGTAAAAATTTATAATTTTGCACCAAAAGAATCTTGGAAAACTTACCTAACTTATTATAACAAGAACAATTTATTTTAGCCTAACCCAACTAAATATATTTTATACAAGTTTACAATAATTTAATAATAAAGAAACACATCGAAATATATTTTTTTCGTTAGGTCAGAATGATTTTGGCGAAATTATTGCATACACAAATTTTCACTTGTCCTATATGGCAAGATGAGCGTTGCTATTTAAGCCAAGATCGCAAGTTCTGCCTATTCGGCACGACATATATTATATATTATATATATAATATATTATATATATATATATATAATATATATATATAATATATTTATATATATATATATATATATATATATATATATATATATAAATGTCGTGCCGAATAGGTAAAGCTGGTGAACTAGCAAGAACTCGTTTAAAATTAAGTTCTTTCTAAAATTTTCTCTTATACGTTTAAATATTTATTTTTTTCATTTATGTTAATGTAAAAAATAATTTTGTACCTGAAGAACCTTAAAAACTTAGCTAACCTTATTGCTATTTATGCCAAAATCACAAGTTTTACCTATTCGGCACGACATATATTAACAGGTGTGTTGTGTGGGAGGTGTGTGCTTTAAAGTTATCAGATGCACTTGCTTCTCTGTTTGACAGCTTCAGCAGAGTATTAAGGCATTTTCCTTGAAAGACGAAGACCTGAATGCTAGATATGTTTCCCTCTCACATACCATCACACAGGGCTGGTTGTATGCCTGAGATAGCTTTATACGATAGTTACACAGTGGGAACAAAAGCTAGCATTGTTTCCCTTATATTCCGTCACACAACATGAGCTGTGGGTGTCTGATCTGGAAGATGTACCAATCTTCCCACGAGAACCTTGTCTAAGAACACACCATCTTTTTTTTTGGCATAAATAGTAGGACTTTTGCCGCTTTCGTCCTAATTTGCTGCATCTTCTGTGGACGAATTTTGGATATGGTTTGTGAAGTGAATAATGAATTTTTTTCTGTATGATAAAAATTTAATTATGGTAAGAGTGAGTTAGTAATGATAGCTGTGAATTATGTATGTATGTACTTAGGGGCACGCGAGTGTATGTATTAACAGTGAAC